AAATTAAATGCTGAGAAAAAAATATCGTGTGTAATTATTCGTATGTGTAACAAAATATTTTTATCGCGATGTATATTCGAAAAAAAAAAAAAATGAGGTGCACTAACGAAAGGTCACTGATAAAGATCTTTCGGGAGAGATTCTATCGGGTAGAACGTACAATCTTGGTATCACAAAGGTTTAGCAATTAACATAGAGCTCTTCTATATCGTAATTTGCTTTGCGTCGCGTGATTCTGACACGAACGAGGAAAATGAGAACGTACCTCCTTGTAATTCCTCGTTTGCGGTAGCACACGCGCGCGAAACGAATCTCTTCATTATGCAGCTCGTCGCTGGTCTGCGGTATAATTTATTTCTCATTTGTTAACCGAATATGGCCCCGGCAAAGAAGACGCCAGAGAATCAGCAGTGACAGAGAAGCTCTCGCGATGCGCAAAGACCGCGGCAAAGTTTATGCGTTTCTCACATTGCGACATTTTAAGTGCGACGCCAAAGGCGTGATACAGGCCGTTTCGAAGGACGTATAATCCCGTGAAATATTACAATATTGTATTTTGAAATAAATAATAAATGCCTTGCAAGCCGTGGATCGAGTACGTGATAATGTGTGACGTATCTAAAAAAATATAATTTCTCGGAGTACTTCGTGTGAAATAAATTCTGATTGTATACGCGACCGAAGTAAAGCCGAAAGATATGTTCTCGAAGAAAACGAGCAGTATTCTTCGAATAAAAAATCCTTGGTTGCGACAAAAGTCTGCTATTTATTTCAATCGTACTATAAACCTATATATGTCACGGTCGAAGAGCTCGCTGGCACACGCTGGTTCACGCTCTATAAACAATGCCATTGCTTTAGGCGATTAGCTAAACGTTGTGAATTTATGAAAATATATATTTGGCTATGCTATCTCTCTAAAATAAACGTAACAATCTGTGCTCTCAGGAATTACATCATACTAATTAAGCAAACATCGTTTCTTTTTTTTTTTTTTCCAGACACTACGTATATCACACACATCTCCAATTAATCTCTTGAAAAATCTCCTTTAAAACTAGAAGGTATTTTGATTGTTATTCGGGAAAATATAAAAGTAACGCTGTCATTTCGCTACCAGAATTTCTAGCTAACTTTGATGGGAAAACGTTTTCGCGTTCACAGTCAATTTACATTCCCGTGCACTTGATGCGCGCCGAAAGTTGAGTAGCGTGATGCGAAAATCGCATCAGTCATACGGCGCGTGCACCGCGCGTGCTCCGATTTTTACACGCTCGTGCGGCCGTTTTCGCGTGGGGGTTTTCATCGTAACCGAAATTCCTCACACGTAACGCCACATAACGGAAATGTTGCCAAGGGCGAGCGGCATGATTCTATTCATAGATGCATCAGTTGTGTCGAAGTTCCAGATGCATCAGCCGATATGCGTTCGTGTGTGTGCCAGTGAGAGCGATAGTGCGTGCACTTGGCACACATTCACGAGGACCAATGTGTGACGATTGGGTGTGTGCGTGTATTAGTACGTGTAACGCAACTGAACTTGGACGTTGGCATGTCATAAGCGTACTTGACAAGTTCTGCCTGAACGAGAACTATGTATTTCTCTGAATTATTTACTCGATATTTGCCATACGATTTCTCGCGATTGTAAATTATAACTTGAAATTTGTATTCGACTATTTCAACATAAATGATGATAATAATAACGCGCGTAAAACATTGATCGTTCGAAGATACGAGGCTATATATCAGGCGCCGAAGTAGCCTATAATAATAATAGTAGGTGGAAGGTCGTCGCATCGTATGTCATCAAGTAAGGCAGGCCTTTCGACGGAGTCATTGATCTATTTTTGTTCGCGTTCACGAATCCATGAGTTTCTAATTCCTGAGCAGTCCCGCGTAAGCTTCGAGACGCGTTGGAGGAGGAGAGCTCGAGTTTAACTTTGCGGTGAACGAAGGCACATCGGTCACTGATGGATCGTGTGTCTCGTTCGTTTTGACTTATACGGCAGAGACGATTAGACACAGTCGGAGACTAATTGCGAAATTTATTGCGGCTGCTAAAGTCGACCTTCGAAATTGCACGAGTCTAAGGCTGCGGCGACGCACTAATCACTCATGGGCCGTATCGTTCATCTTAACTGGCGAAGTAAGTACAAGCAGTCACGCGCGAAATTTGTTGCGCCGATTAATCGTAGCCCGGCGATCTAAATTGCGCGAACGTAAACCGCGATATCAACATGCGTCCGCCGCTAAACAGAAACTTATTGTTCGATACATTGCGCTATTCGAAAAAGTTTATATAGTTAAAATTATAATTCACAAAAATTACCAGTGGTTATTATGTGATAATTCCAGGAGCGCGGCAGCTGTCAAAAGTGATAATGGCGAATTTTTTTGACAAAGACTTTTATCGCGATTCAAGAAATTGATACGGTACATAATTTAAAATATTGATCTATTTTCAACAGATATGATAATAATAATAATAATAATAATAATAATATACAGATAATGATTATACTGACGCTTCTGGAAATATTAAAGAATAAAAATTGATTTGACAGTTCTAGACTAAAACTATCGAACTACATTTGCTTTTATAGTGCTCTATATGTTGTTGACATTATTAGCAGCGTGTCGAAAGAACTGACGCCTACTTGTCGTGCCTTCGGAATTCCATTGGCGTCTTTCCAAAACGATGTCGGCGAAGCTTCCGGGACGTGTAAAATCCGTCAAATGGCAGAATCGATTTTTATCGCGCATGCAAGCAGGCGCAGAGCGTATTCTTTTATAAACCAAGATCGGCAATTTCTCTTCTATTCTTCGGCGATTTTTTGGGCCTTCCTCCTTCTTTTATATACGATATTCATGACATACGCCCGCGCCTTAATATTTATCGGGTTTACCTATAGAGTAATTCATCGCCGCGCGCTCCGACATCCAGTTATTTACGTCGAGCCTTTCTGATGTAAAAGAGCCGCTAAACATAGAGTAGGTGCGCGTATTTTTGCAGGAATATCGATTGCGCTACTTTAACTCTGTATGAAGCGAGGGCGATTGACTTGCCTTCAATTGCAGACGCATCGATACGTTTGATCCTGAATTCCATTAGCGTAGAAGACAGATTTCTAAAACGTAATTTCTGCGAATCGATTGTATCTTTCCGCTCTTTATTGGGCGCGCTATCTTTAACTTTATTGATTTGATTATATATTTGAAATAGTCTTATTTTATTTAATTTCTTAACTTATCAATTTCTTAATTTGAAATAGAGTCTCACGATATGTTTTTAATTATTTACCAACTCAATAAAAAGGACACATCATATATACACATCAATTGGTATAAAAAAAAAATTGTTTTTAGGAAAAAGTATGTAATTATTTATGTTATAATATATTTCTTTTTTAAATAATTATTTATGTTTTCTTTTTTTTACAATTGATTCATCTCATTATTCTATGCATAAAAGTATTACAGTAAGATTATCGAAAATTAAATATTTTATATTTTAGATATATTAGATATTTTATATTTTATGTCAAAATATGTCAAAATAAGATATAAAATAACTTAAAAAATACTTAATGAAAAAATACTTCATTATAGCGTTTTGAAAAGTTCTCGAGATAAGCTACAAAAATGTATAATGAAAAATAGGGGTTTCCATTTAAAAAAATGGAGATGATCTTCAAAACTTTTTGGCGTTTCCATCTAGAAAAAACAAAAATTACAAAAATATAGCCCTTTCAAAGTAATTTAACTTGTGCCTTAAATCTTCTCATTTAAAATCAATTTATGAAAATATTTTAGAAGGCAATTTTTAGTGACTCACCCTGTATATAAAAATAAAATGACGGGTGAAAAAAAATGGTATACCGTTAACATATAAATACCCGAGTATCATTTGATCCATGACGGAATTGGATTGAAATGGATTTCTCTCACAGCGTCTCGAAAAGAGATGCCGATTGATTTATCGATATGTATTGCCGGTACAAAGCGAATTTTTGAGGAACTTGCACGCTGCCTTTAATCGCCACTGCCGAATTGGAAATGTGTCAAGTTCTTGAAATCCGCGAAACGAACGGAATAACGTAAAACCCCGGTTGTGCGGTCGACAGTCGATAACGGACGCGAGGAGCTTTTTGTTCCGCTAACGCGTCGCGTCCGAGAGCCCGGCTTGGAAATCGACGTGGTGTCCTTTTTGTGACGGATGTCACTTTGGCATCGTGGCGCATATGTCGAACTTTCGCAATGGTAGACGGATTTTTGACGACAACCAATCAGTGAAACGACCGTTTCCGGATGAGGAAACAAATGTAATTTGAAGGTACCCTGTGCTCGAACGCGCTCAACAGATTTTACCGTGACCCGATTTTTTTCTCGTGATTATATGCAAACACTATTTTAATAAAGAAATAATGTTGAGATTTATATAACAGATTTATAACTCATTATTTGATATCAATAATAAAAACTTGTAACGGACTTATATATTTAATAGAATATATAAAGAATAATTTAATTTTACTGTAGCTTTTGTCACTGCTTTTAATTAATTTTTTTACTTATAGGATATGTGACAAATTTATTTAAATATTTTTTAAGATTACACGTGCAATTACACACTCTCTTTTTAGCTGCATCTACAACATCGATCGAAAAATAATTCGAAAAAAGTATTGCAACTGCGATTCAGCGAGAAAGCGAAAAGAGCCGATAAATCATTACGGTAGATAAATCGATCGAAAAACATCGCAGAAGCCACCCGCAGCGTTTTGCGGAAAAATAATCGAAGAGAGCGTGATTATCCGTATTTATTTGCACGCGAATCTGCGAGGTCGAACTTTTCTCTGAGCGAGCGCGTCGTCCGCGTGAAAAAAAATTTCGATAAAATTCACGGTAGGGGAGCGAGAAATCGGACCGTCTGTCTGCGACGCACACTTCTCTCGCCACGGGTTCTGACCGGTGTCGAATTTTTTTTTCTGTTGCAGAGCCGAAGAAGGAAAAGACTGAACAGAGTGCGAATGGCGCGATATCGCCGAGCGGCGGCGGCGGCGATTCGTCGGCCGCAAATCTGGGCCCGACCGGCCCGGGGGCGCCGGCCTCGGGCCCGGTCCCGGATTCCGGGAACCAACAAAAGCCGAACAGGCCGAACACCCTCGACGCCAGGGTGGTAGCCAGGAGGCTGATCTTGTTCGACAGTGAGTACACACCCGCGTGTGCGTCCGTTCTTCTCGCGTATCGATCGACCGTCGTCGTCGTCGTCGTCGTCGTCGTCGTCGTCGTCGTCGCTCAGAGAAAAGTTCGACGAAATGGATGGTATCGGCGGTGGCGTACGTCACGCGAACGTATCGATTTTACAACGAAGGGTGAAATAATGGGATTGGCTCAAGTATCGGTAGACTTGAAGGGTGGGAAGGAAGAAGGGTAGCGAGAATAATTTTGCCGCTTAAACGGCCTAAGACATTTTTCCCATAAGCTAATAATATATGTTTCCTACAAAGTCTTTTTTCATTTCACTATTATTACACTCTGGTGAAACAATTAACAGCTTTATTTATAGAGTACTTAATTTAGCATTCACATTTACTGAAATAATATTTTATATTTTTGCCTTGCATATTCTGCGAGTTTATTTAAATCATAATTATTCGAAAAACTTTTTTCTTGTGGTTGTATATAAAAAGTTCGCGAGTAGATCAGCCGGCATAAACTTGGGTTTATATTTGTTATCGTTATGCAACTTGCAGAAACTTTCGAGTAAGAATTTTCTCTCCAGCCTGAGGATCAGTTTAGAAGCAATAATAGCATTCTTTTATGCGATAACTCCTGCCGGACGAAGAGCGATGAGTCCTCGCAAATTCGTGCCGCATGAATGCAATTATCATCGAGTGTATCACAGAAAGTTTCATTATTGGATTTAGTTGTCCCTTTGACGAGACTTGGTATTATTTATCTCTGGCAACGTTTACAATTTAATAATATTTATTAGAGACTGAGAAATCGATAAAACGCAAATGTGTTGAGATGTATGCGCGAGCCGTATCTATCTCTTTATGTAAAAATATTCTTTAGCTACAGTAAAGAGCACATTAAAATACAAATATAAAATTTTCCAACATTGTTACATTTTATTGCTCCTGTTACCATATGGATTGATACCCAAATATTAAACTTCGATTTAATGAATATCGAATATTTAATTTAATTAATAAATGATATGCGCTACAATACACAATTTCAGGAGAAAATTGATATTATACTTTAATTACTGTTTAAGCGATATTTATTTTCATTAAGCGATCTTTTACTGAAAGAGAATTTCTTTATATTTTTCATTAAAAAAATATAAAGACAAAAAGAGAAAATAGAATATTTTCTCGAAGAAATAAACTTTCGAAAGAAAGTTCTGTGGAAAATCGAAAACATTTATTATTCTCAGCATTACCTGCTGTACCAAGCTAATAACACTGCGTACATCGTTTAGGAAATATATTTATTCAAATAAGTTTGAGATTTTAATGGCTCTCCGATAGTTGGTACACAATGTTAATTTATACGATAACATTTTGATATATAGCTTAAAATTTTCTCTATAAATTTCAAGCTGAAATTAAATATGTTCAAATATGCGCTCATGATCAAGCGCGACCGGACGGTCCCTGGGGGAATGCGTGGTAGCTAAAGTATCTCGTTGGTAACCGCCTGGAACTTCGTCCTTTTGTATGTCAGAATTTAGGTGCGCGACGTTATCAAATGGCCAGCAGCGCGTTGCATCCAACGAGTTATTTAACATTCCAGCCGATACCGGTCACGAGTATAACGCCGAGCTGTTATTCGTGAAAAATACGCCGGTCTCTTTATATCTCGGGACGAAAAAATTAAACGAAGAGAAAAATAACTGAAAAACAGGCTGCGTGCGCGAATTATAAAAGTGGGTGGAACGCCAAATTAAAAATTCCACACGGCAACCGGATTTAATAATAAACAAATTCGGCGAAGAGCCGCGAGTAATGTGTTTCGCAAGTCTCTCCTCTCAACTGCAACGGCATTCGTTGGTTTGCCAAAATATCGTTGCTTCTGCATTGCGATGAATCATATTTCTTGAAACAACTGGCGTGGGCTTCTGAGGAACGCGTGGAGCGCGTTCTCTTTTCGATTCGTATTCTTACTTGGACACAATCTTCCGAGACGACAATCTGTCATTTTGTACTTTTTCTGTTTTATTGCTGTAATAAAAATATCTTAATCCTATATACATATATAATACGATCTAACTTAGAAATATTGAAGGAAGCGAGAATAATTAATTCAACGTAATGGAATGAGATTAATTAAAAATAAAATGAAAATTGTGCAAATTAGAAATTTGCACATTGCTTTCTCATCATTTTATTTCGCTCACAAAGCTCAAGTTCCTTAAAGAAAGCGGGTTTTTCAATTTTGGCTTTTTCATAAAGGAAGATATCTCAACATTTGCGAAAGTTACAGCGTGTACAGATATTTTCAGAATTTTATAAAAAGTCAACCCTTTCACCGATCCTCACCAAATTCAATACCAACTATTCTTTAATGATACTCTATTCATGTAAAAAAATTTAACCTGATATCTCAAAATTTGCGAAAGTTAGAGCATGTACAAATATTTCTCAAAAAATTCAAAATTTTATAAAAAATGAACTCTCATCGATTCTCACTAAATTCGATATCAACCATCTTTTAATGATACTCTATTCATTTAAAAAAATGTATATATATATCTTGATGTACATATATCTTAATTCCCATCTTTCCTTCTGTTTTCAGTGGACAAGAGGGTGCTGGATCCTCAGGGTGCCGACAATCAGCAGGTTATCGAGAGATGTTACCCGTTACCACCTCAGAATACCCTGATGCTGTCGGAGCTCCCGGAACCGCCGATTCCGTTAAGCGAAATCGGCCCTATACCACCCCCGCCCATGTTCAGCTCCCCGAGTCCAACTTTGCTGGCGAGGCAACGGCAAATCCCGCTCTCAGACTGCGAGGATGAGGGTAAGTGCCCATAATAAAATATTGTAAGCGATAAGAAGAGCAATTATCATCTCATGAAAATATTTTTCTTTGACACTTAGAATCTGCTCTATTAATATTCTAAGATAAATCAACATTTTTTCAATATCGACGATATGTTTCCTTTTTCATTCTCATTTCGATTGTCTTACACGCAATGCCGCGATATATCAAATTATAAAATAATAACCGGTAATGAGGCGCTTATTGTTATGGAATTATTAACATTGTTTATCTCATTACAATTTAATTTGATTGTTAATTATCGGTTCGCGCTAATTGATGATCGCAATTTCGTGTTGCATTGATGTACTTGCATCTGTGATGATACATGTATGTCAACCGAACACCCATAAATCAACTCCGGTATACCTTGTCGTGTTTAATTATATAAATCGGAAAAAGCAATGAACGCGCACGTGTTTGTTTATTTCAATTAATAAATAATGAAATAATAAATCTATTTATTATGCATAAATCATTAAACTTGTTCGCTTGAATTTTTCGAGCTTCGATAAATGATGAAACAACCATTTTATCTTTTTGCGTGCAAATTCGAAGCTGCTCTCTCTATTTTCACGTATAAATGTCGAGCGTGAAACAATAGTTTACATCTCCCTACGGCTTGAAATCTCACGATTTCGCCTGCCATTCGATAGATGAGGAAGACATCGACGTGGAGGAGGAGGACGACAATATGTACGTCTTTAGGGTGTCGCAGCCGGATCCGGCGATCGACACATCCCGTGTCGAGGAGATACCGGCGAAGGAGCCCAAGTTCCACGCCGTGCCGCTCAAGAGTGTCCTGAAGAAGCGGGGTTCCGGAAGCGGGCCCGGCACGCCGCAGAACACGCCGACCCTGGAGAACAGGCCGCTGACTCTTCGCCAGGAGCTCCACGCCTCATTTAAGTTAGTGCTCTTCTCTCTCTCCTCGCGCTAATATCGAAATTCGCTTTACAGTTGCTCGAGTATATCCATCGATGCGGAAGTGTTTGCGAAGAGGAATCAATTTGACTTATCGAAATGGTTTTCACTGCACGTTGGTTCCAAGTGTTCATTTATTCGAAGGAGGAAAGTCACGAAGCTTGAAATTCGAAATTAATAATAATGCATCAGAAATTGTAATTTGCAAGATCCATTTTAGAACTCGATGCTTTTTAAAGTGGACCTTAAGGGGCATACTAAATGGCGGCATGTTGAAAAAAAGTTTGGTTTTTAAAAAAAATCCTTTTTTTTCTTTATAACAAAAAAATGGGGAATCGGATTAAAAAAAGGCTTCGTTAGCAGATGCTGAATCTTATTAGGAACTCGCCTGCAAAATTTGAAATCAATCCGTCGAATGTAGCCCGAGTTTTCATACATACGGTGCATGAAAATATAAATCTGTAAATATTCGCATAACTTAAAAAAAAATTTTTTTTAACTGAATATTTTTATTTATATACTTAATATTGTATTAATATTGTAAAAAAATAAAAAGTTTTTATCAAGTCGTTGTGCTGCAAAAAAATCTAGAAAATGTATTCATTTTTCGAGAGTTCAAATGGTCATTATGCCCTCTTAAAAGATTATGGACTTACTTTATCCTCAAATTGTAAGCTTTTTGTAAAGCTTTGACTGTAAAGGTTTCAATTTTAAAATGCGTTGTCGTCCTTTGCCTTTATTGTGATCGTTGAAGAGGCTCGAAGAATGAATTACTTTGAATCGGCATTATATTGCGTTATATTGTGTAATGATCACAACGGTAATTAGGAGGCAAAAGCACAAAATGAATGCAGAACACGAGTATTTACTTATTTTTCTCGAACACTTCGCATCGAAACTCGAAACTCGCCGTAAGAATCAGGCGCTCTTCGAGAGCCATCCGGCGCAAATTCGCCGGGATAATTCGCTTTCTACACCGGCTTTTCTTTAATTAAAAATCGACTCCGTTCTCGAAAGCCTCCTTTAACTCGCGAGTCCCGTGTTGTTTGATATCGAAAACACCGCGTCTGCAAACAGACTTCGAGTACGTCTCGTTTTATCTCCCGTAGTATTATTATTCTCGACTGTAATGAAAGGAGTAAAAACGTCGTGGACATCGAAGAGCCCTAATTTGTTCCGGACGTAGCCCTTTAATTTCTCGTCTCGCTGCTTGTAGTTTTTGCATCTAGCATCCCCCGCTTGAGTGAATACGTAATAATTTCTCGGATGACGTTAATCTTCACATTTATACTAAATTGAGACAAAATATTTTATTTAACAAAAAAATATATTTTTTGTGCCTCACATTAATGTAATTCTGTAAGAGACGTTAAATTTACTCGCCGCATTTTTTTACGATGAAATTCGAAATGCGAGACGGATTATTAAAGGGAAACGTACGCCCTCTCTCTCAGGCGAGTAATCATGGAATGTACTTCGTGCACCCATTCGCCATTAACATGTCAATCATTAGTAAAGCATCGTATTTTTCTTATGCTTAACCAGAAGGCCACCGTTGAGGCCTAGGATGAGAATATGGTAATTGGGCATTGGTTTAACTAAGCATGTGTGCGAACCGATATTGTATATATTATATATATTATACATATATGTACATATATATATATACGTATTAAAGATATCTTGTCCTTTTTACGTCTTTCACGTCACGCGGTTGATCGCGTGAGAACCAAAATGTTCTAGTCTCCTTTTCTCTCGGTGACTCTTTACGCGAGCGCCGCGAGCATGGCAATGTTCGAACGTCTTAAGCATGAGAAAACCTTAGGGAAATCCATGAAAAATCTCTCAGCCTTATGCTTGTCACGCCGCATACATTCGATCACGCACGAGACGCGCCGCGTGAGTCGAATATCGCGCGAGATGGGTCGAGCTGTTATTTTCCCTCTCGCGTGATCGATCGATCTCGCGGGTCATGCGATCCATCATTAGTCGACGGTATCGCTCGCGACTTATAAGTCGGATAATTAAGACGAGGAAAAGAGATCGACGAGGAACTCGTCATAATTATTTCACTCGTGTGAGTATATATTCGTTCTTTCGATATATTTTTCATATATTTATATATAATTAATTATATATCTTATATTTTGATATTTTATATGTCCCGTTAATTTTTGATATATATATATATTATATATATAAAGCATGTGACCTTTTTTCCAACTATTAATAACTGTAATTACTGCTATGATGTATTTCACTTTTAAATATCATGTTTTACCAGATGCAGATTGCAAAAACTTTATATTAATTAAGTTATGAATTTATCTTGTTCTCGTTTGTAATTTCTTTTCCGTTGTCCTGCAGTCTGTCTGCAGAAAATCAAAAGAGAATTTATAAACAAAATGTTATGTTATCCTGCATTTTTAATTATGATACAAATTATATGTAATATTTTTTGTAACTTAAAAAGCTCTAGAACGTCTTTAATATATGTATATAATATTGAGTTGGAGTAATTTTGTATAGATTCGCTAGACGAGAATCTTAAGTATTCAGTTATTACAAGAAACGACAGTACTGCCAGTTTTTGTTCTCATCACATTATTGCAGCTTTGGCGCTTTTAAGCTCGCCGGCTTCATAACGTTGTTGAAAACGCTTCGAAAATATTTGGCTCGAGGCAATTCGCTTCTGACGTTACGCACTGCGCTTTCGAAAGAAGAAGTTAAAAATTTAGTGTAAAAATATTGAAGCAAAAACGAGACATAATTGATCCAGAGACCGTGCTTTGCGATTTCTTGATGATTTCTTTCGGGAAATCTTTACAATTTTACTAGTCTTTAGAATCGTGAAACATAATCCAACGAGAATATTGAAAGTCTTGACACAATGTATTATCGTAAATATAATATTATGAGAGGTTCTTATGATTAATTGACGCGAGAAGAGAAAATCTTAACTTTTTCTGAAGAACATTGCGTACACAGTCAAGAGTGGCGCTCGTGCTAAATATTCGTAAAATGTTTACAATCTCTAAGAGTATTCGAAGACATTTTATTCTTGAAAGAAAATTCACCGCAATAAGTTTAAAAGTTTAAATTCAAAAATTCTCGACGCGAAGAAATGCGGACCGACTCGAGAGAAATTGCAAACTCAATTTAAACACGTTGAATGCCGACTCATTTTAATTAGATTCATGATTATTATAATCGCTGGTTCTCGCTGTATATATTTGAACATTTTTATAATTTTATATTCAGCACAAAAGCCGGTGCAGTTTAAAAAAATGCAAGCAAAAATCGCAAATAAGATTTACGTTCGCAATTAGAAGGAATATATTAATTTCTATAATTATTAGAATTACTGTATATTATCCGCTTTGCCGTTCGCTAAATTTTCGCAATAAATTTTCCACCGCAGAAATCTCGCTCGCGAATACGTCGCACAACACGAATGTAGCTCGCGCAAAGAACAAGTAGTACAATCGCGAATAAAGTTTACGTATACGGCATTCAACGTGTCGAACGGGTAGCAGCCGGACTTGGACGCGAATGTCTGTCGTTTCACATGGCGTGTCCCGTTGTTCTCCACCCGACACATGTCACACACCACTATGCACCTCTACCCTTCTCCGCCCGGGCATATCCCATCTTTCGCATCTCGTTCTTTTGTAGCACCGTAGAGTAGAACATTGGTTCACGTAGCGGAAAACTGTTGTATTGGTCAACCAGCGGAAACGCTATCCGAATGTATTAACAAATTTTGCACGTGTCGTTCCTCGTTCTTTCAGCAGTCGACCGGTTCGATTCGGCCTCGCTTTGCCCTGTACGTTGGAGAACAAGGAGAATGCACGGCCGTATGTCATCAGGGAAGACGTGGATGGCGATTCCGGCGACGGACAAGTCCTCTACAGGGATGATTATGACGACGAAAAAAGTAAGTCATCTTTGATTTTATTATATTAAATTTCTAACTTATAAATTGAACCCCGCGACATATTCATAAAGATGTGTATTAATTTGTGAGACCATCATATGACGTACTGTCATATGTTCGTGTTTATTTTGTCATGCAGTCGCACATCAATAAGAACGCAGCCTAATGCGTATGTTAGTTAATATAGTGCACACAAATAGAATATAGATGAATTAAATGTAAATAAATTATTAACAATTAGAAATAAAAGAACTACCTACGTTATAATATATCCTGCTTAATTAGTTAATTAATTGTTATATTAATTATCAAATTGTGTGTGGCTGTGTAAACTATGTATAAAATATATCTCAAACAAAGAACGGTAATGGGTGAGCTGTACTCATTACGGCACACTTTCTCGCTTATCGCGAATTAATAGAATGAATAATTTTGCAAAGCTCGATTTTTTCCTCGATGTTTTTGCAGCGTATCTGCCTTAGCAATTTTATTTCGCTCCGTTTTCGAATTTTAATCGATTCGCTGCATTATGAAAACATGGCTGCAGTCCATATACCAGTGAAAATCAATCATCTCCCCGCGGAAATAAATATGCCGCGACTTTTTCAAGAAATCGCATTAAAATTCTGCCGCAGTCGGACGCTTAAATCATGTGCGCTTGCATACGCGTGTACATCGCAATAAAAATGCGGCTACGCGAAAAGCCACACACGGGGCTAGGACTATGTTTATTTCGCGCCTTTTGCTGTTGCAAATTTTCATCGAAATATGAGATTTTAAATTCTCGACGTGAATGAACTTTCGAACGAATTCATAAATAGTTCCGCGATAAAGTTCGCGTTTTGCTCCCTTTTTGCGGGGAAGAAGAAAGACGCGAGGAACCGTTCTATAAATCTTGAGGAACATAGTTTGGAAAAAAGCCGAGTCAGTCGCAGCTGCCAGAAGAACTTTGCGGAACGCAGAAATAAAAAAAAAAGAGAGCTCGGAGAACTTGACGGACTTCAAACATTTGCGAAAGTTGGGGAAATTCATAAGAAAGTGGAAATTTTGATGTGCCAGCGCCAGAGATAATCAATATGAACGCTCTTTAGAGAACTTTAAATTCTTCTTTTTGCGTCCGGAACTGAATCTAATGTTTATTCCATAAGTATATCACAGTAATTTTTTTTTTTT